AAAAAGGTCTAGCGACGCCCCTGCTCACATTAAGGTGTACAAAATGAAGACCTTTAACTTTAAACTTTTCTTCAAATTCTTGATAAAGAGAAGTGTTTTCATCTGTGAGGTTTCGCGTGATTATTCTTGCTATCGCTTGCTTTTCAGGTACCGTGTAACGCGCGTTACCTTAATGGGAAAGTTGAGTTCTGTTTTCAGACCGTAAATGCCTTCAAAGTGACATTTATAGTGCCCTTATAGAACCTAAAATTGCTATGAAGGTAATTTTAGACCCCCAAATGTGTGAAATTTAGCCAATATGATCATACCAATTCAGCTCCACTTTCAAAATAACACGGTAACCGTAATTAATTGTTTAATTAAAAATAACAATACATGAGCTGGCTAATTGTGGGTAATATAAGCAACACGAAAATGCTAACAAAAAAAGTCAACATCGGCATTGGCTGAAATACGACGTAAAAGGAGTTATATCTTTTTTTTCAAATTTTTCAAAATATCTAATATTTGTGGTGGTACACAGGTATTAGAAATCGTTATATTTCAGCCGTCTCTGAACCGATTTTGATCAAACAAAGATGATTTTGTAATTTAAATAATATGTTATTTCAAATTTGAAACTCAGTTTTTCATTATCTCACAAGACATATTTTGTGTAGCGGCCTCTGCAACAGAACTCAACTATCCCTTTAACATAGTTTTCTTTTAGTCTATCCTCATTTTGGCTTTCTTTCTCTAGACAACCGTCAGTAAATAATGAATCACAAAAGGATGGCAGACAACATGTTAAACAATTCCACTTCTCTTCAGGGCATTCATATTAAAACTTGGCCTACTCTGAACAAATTATAGCCCTGTGTGAAACCATTTTTTTTACAATCAGAACACAGAACGCCGTGTTGATCACATTTGACTGGCTTATCACAGTTCGGATTTTCGGATCATCACTTGATTTTGTCAGACTTTCACTTGATTCAATACCCTTCTTGCAAATTGAAGATATTTCTCCGAGTCTTTTATGTCCACCTTGGATGGTCTGAAGGCTGGTTTCAGTCGTGACCTCTGATCGACGACGCTGAACCCCCCCCCCCCCCCGGGGGGGGGGGGATTTCTGCTCATGCAGGCACTAGCTGTGCCATGCCATATGCAGGGGTCTGCTAATAAGGCCTAAAATAAAAACTTATTGTATTACCCATTAGGTGCCAAAACATGGGTCGGTCGGTCGGAAAAGTTTTTTTTTTTTAAGTTGTCGTCCTCTTTGGGCCGATATTTTTCAGTTTTTAACCCTTTTTTTCCCCGCCCTCTTTTGGCTGATATTTCTCAGTTTTTAATGCTTTAATACATGTGTTTCAGCGTCATCATTCCATTCATATCTTTTCACCTCATAATAATCCATGGTTTGCAATGTTGTGTTGTGACAACACTCTGTGCTAGTAGGATTTTGAAACTAGGACAGAAGACGAGTGAGAATATGGAAATAATTTGATTTTGTGCATTTATATCCCATTTAAACAAACAATTTTTTTTTTTTTCATTAATAATTTTTTTTCCTCTAAAAAACAGTTAAAAAAAAAAAAAATTGTTTAAAATGCCGACCGTAGATTTTCAGATTTTGGGGTCGGTCGCAAAGGACAATACAACAGGTTTTTATTTTAGGCCTAATGGTTGGTATAATTAGTGTCGATGCCTATACAAAATTATATAAGCATCGTGGTAATCATATGAAAATATGGGGTTAAATTTACTAAAGATGAAAAAAGGATCGACTTGTCCAACTCTCTGCCATAACCTCGTAAAGTGTCAGTGCCCGGAATTGCATCAAATTGCATCAGTGCGAGAAAAACGGGGAAATCCCCTTTCTTCATATCGCTCGCAATGCCGTGTGTGCTTAATTCGTGTGTGTGGTGTGCGTGTGTGTGTGTGTGTGTGTGTGTGCGAGAGAGAGAGAAAACTAAACGCAGGCAGTATACACAAGAGGCGTAGCATGTGATCGAATTCATATTCATAATAGTCTGTGCATGCCAGGGCATCTCCCTTGTCTGTGCAAGCTCGCTCTCTATTTTATATCTCCATGCTCTATCTCATGAGGCTCAGCTCATGTAATGCAGGTCAGTGGAAGATGCCGATCGCGCATTTCATCATATTCTAGCTATCTGGGATGATTGTTCTTTTTTGGCTTACAAAAATGCATTTCGTCGGAAGACTGAAGAGCCAATTATAATCATCACACGTCACACGTACGCACGGCCAATTAAACCACACTCCGGTCCACAGCTCTACATTCGAGTCGACTGTGTCATATGTCTTGCTGTTGCTGGCTGGTTGGTGACTGGTATTGGTAGGTTGTAATTGTGTTGTCATGACGATCTTGAATGATATAACGTTGATTTGAGATATTGGAATAAGATCTATTGATTGAGTATTAGAATTGACTGAAAAGAGAATACTAAAATATTTGGCGTTAGTTCAGAAGTCTATCCAGAGTGACAACCGTCTGGTTTATGATATGGCACTATACATGGGTCATTCTTAATAAAACTGACATTTGTTGACATTCTCCATAGATCTACACATAATTTTTAGCAATTCATCATATTGCAATACGGTCGCCAACTGAACACACCCGCGCGCCCGCACCCCACCACCAGTACGTTATGCAATGTATTGTGCAGCACTTTACCGTGAAATCCCGTGAGAAAGTGTATATAATAAGTCTTCGTTTTTAGGAAAAATACTCCAAAAAAGATAAGAAAATTGACACGAAACAGGTAAGAAACATATAACAATTTTAAAATCATGACCATTATTTGAACAATTGAAGAACATTTCGGTTTGTTTTACTTTTAGTTCGGTATCTCCACGCCGGAGTTCCGGGTCAAAGTCTGGATAGACTTCTGAACTAGTGCCAAATATTCTGTTTGAGGATACTAATACTATTAGGCATCCATTCATTTATTACTGTTATTGTTAAGTGTTAGACTTGAGTACACCAGACTATTTCTATTACAATAAGAACAACAAACAAAGAAACGTGCATCAAATCGGTACGATATGTGAACATAATAATGATAAGATTAGTATTATAAACAACCTTGCCATAGCAGTCAAAACTTTGGTGTACTGGCACAATGTTGTGAAGAGGAAGGGGGGGGGGGGCTGACCCCCTTTGGCCAGAATATTGATTCTTTAGTTTTAAATTTGCAAATTGTGTGAAGTTATTGTGAAAAATACAGAAATATGGGGCACCTCCACTAGACTCCTATAGGCCAAGACTGCATCTCACTGCCCAAATATTCCAGCACGACTTTGCCGAGCTGAATATGAATATGAGGTGGTGGTTGCCTGAATATCAGAATTTGAAATACCCTCATAGGGGCTGCCTCTTACCCCTATGAATCTTGCATATGAGCTGGATAGAGATTCTCTCTGGAAACTGAATATATAACCTGGATAACATCTGTGAGTAAACTGACCCAAGCTGACATCGACTGCACTCATCCCCTTGGACGGGGTACCAAGCCAGTTGATGGTGACAAGCCAGATCGGTCTATCATTGTTAAGTTTACATCGTACTGTACCAGAGCCCTTTTCATTGGAGCGAGGATGAAGCTCAAGAGCTCTGGTATATATGTCAACAAGGACTTGACGGCCAGGAAGCAGAAGCTCTTCCATGCCGTCAGGCACTGTAAGAAAGCTGTCAAGGCCTGGAGTATTGACGGCAGAATATTTGCCGGTCTCGACAACACTAGTGACAGTGGTCGCCTCACCAAAAAGCTTATTACATGCGAAGAAGATCTTGCAAACTTATGACTGAATTTCGCGGACTATATAGTAACTCCTTACTTGCAACTAAGCCTATTCGTGGCAAATATGTTTTGTATACATATTGTTTTTTCTTGCCTTTCTTCATTATATATTCCCTCCACTTTTCTACTTTATTTCTCCTTAAATCCCTGCTATTTAATTTCAACATTATATTTTTTTATTTCTCAAGTTGTCTCATTTACCTTGTAATCTAAGTACATTGGTGCTTTATTTATATTTATGTGTATTTCCTATCCTCTCTATCTCATGTCAGTTTGCTACCTGATAAATTACGAACCGCGGTTTCAAAGTACAATATCTATTTTCTTAATATGGTTGAAACTGAATATGCAGTAATTTTGAATCCAATGCAAGTACCTTGCAACAATATGATGAAAATAATGATCAAATTACAGCTCAGGACAGCTCAGGAGTCACAGCAATAGGTGTTTCTGAGACCTGGTTTCCTACTGAACTTGATACTAGCTTATATTGAATTACTGGTTATAATTTGGCTTCTAATAATAGATGAAATAAAAGAGGTGGAGGGGTGGCTTTATACATTCCATCTGTGATGGATTACCAAATATGTCATGAGCTTATCATTATGAATGATTTGTTAGAAACTATGTTGATGTTTTCATACCAGGAAAACTTAATGTTGTTTTCTAAAGGTGTCGTTTATAGGCCGTTACAAAGTTAGCTAAATCGCTTCATAGATGAAGTACACAATATTCCGTCAAATCCACTACTTAATCCCCCCCCCCCTCAAATTTTGTTAATGTGTGGGTAACGGAGCATATCCCCCACTGACAAAAATCTCGGCATAATTTTCAAATTTTCAGGACAAAAAAATATATATATACATACATGTATATGCATGCAGTAGTATAAAGTCCAAACTCCAGTATTAAAATAAACATCACGTGCCAAAAATCATTAATAAGTGCATATTGTTGTATATATATATACATACATGTATATGCATGCAGTAGTATAAAGTCCAAACTCCAGTATTAAAATAAACATCACGTGCCAAAAATCATTAATAAGTGCATATTGTTGTATATATATACATACATGTATATGCATGCAGTAGTATAAAGTCCAAACTCCAGTATTAAAATAAACATCACGTGCCAAAAATCATTAATAAGTGCATATTGTTGTATTGAATGCCATGCGCATGTTTGGCATTAGAAAAACCTCAATGCTCGTGATTTGTTTCTGCCACTCCAACTCGAGACATCCCCTGCATTAGCTTAGCAAACTAGTAATCAAACGGGTAAGTAACACATATACCCAGACATTGTGTGGCTAGACAGGTTGTGAATCCCGACAGTTGATTTGAAACAGCAATGTCTATGTCTATGCTGGTACTCGTCAAAAGCCTTTTCAGCAACTCAACAAGGATATTGTGGTGTGGTGTCTCTCATAGTGGTCACGATTGATTAGTGCATAGTGTGTATACTATACAAGTTGGGCGAGTAAAAATAGTGAAGAAGTTTACAAGCAACATTCCATAAATCTTTTAAGACTTATGTTGGATAATGTTATAAATATTCATGATGGTTATAGTGCTATTTAATGAATACTTTCTGGTCTTAATTTGCAATACTGCATGAGTCCATATGCATAGTATATTTGGAGATTTTCATTTTAAGCCAAATTATCTCTGGCTTTAAATTCTAGAACATTTTCGAACATTTTCGAACATTTTCGAACATCAACTGCAGTCCCATCTACTTCCAATTTACATATTTATTTTTTCTGTCATCAAAGTAAAATGTATTATTTGATATTTCAGGAGGAGCACAAGATTGACGTTCGAGGTTCAAATCTGAGGAAGGCACCATGCTCACGTACATCGGCGAACGTGTGGTACGTGGACCAGATTGGGAATACAACGATGATGATGGGGGCGATGGCTGTGTCGGAACGGTTATCGGTCAGTATTTATCTTTTGGTTCTTGCGGGCGAGGATTTATGATTTAGGTGAAAATTAATATTTTATTTCTAATTCAATCAGTCATCACACCAAAGTATAATTATTTTGAAATTGTAAAATATCTTCTTTTTGTTGTTGTTGTTGTTGTTATTAAACAGAAAACTGTATGTGATAGAATATCGTTATTGTCTTTTGTGGTTGTAGCCATAAAGGAAGAAAGATCTGGGCATTCTCGGTCCAACGAGACAGCAAGGACCAATTGGAAGGTCCAGAAGGTGACTGTAGCCTGGGACCTGGGCCACATCGGGGACTACAGGACAGGACTAGATGGAAAGTATGACTTAGCATGTATGGATGTTGGGTTAGGTACGTAAAACCAGTTTCACAATTGCTCCGAACTATAAAAGAAAGGAAGTATGATGTAGAAGTTGTCCCGTGGCATGCTATCTTTGACCCTGTTGTAAATTTGTTGCACTAGCTGTTGCTGCAAATAAAGGCCTGGGCCAGTATTCAATTCCATTTTTAGTTTGAGTTAGACTTTTACTTATGGCTTTATGGCAAAATACTTACTGATAAGCATTGTGACATCACACGGTCAATCAAAAGCAATGCGCAATTTACGAGTCGCATCAAATGCACGCTAATAATTGTGCGCAGCTTATAGAGGAGGCGCGATAGCTCAGTCGGTAGAGCAGTACGTGGTCTCGTAATCCGGTGACCCGGAGAGGACCAAAAGCCGTCGGCTGTCTGGTTGATTACTTACAAGCATTTATGCTTTCTTAGCAGTCAGGTAAAATAACCACCATCACCATCACCATGACTGGGTATGACAACCATTAGCCTCCCATTAGGCTTCCAAAATAATTGGCAGGCTAAGTATGCTACAAAGCCGTTTTAAAATTTATGGTAATCATCATAAACTGAATACCAAAGTTGGCTAAGTATTTTATCTAATCTGCAGTGAAAACTGAGTAAAATACTCATATTTCTGATTTCAAGTATGGAATTCAATACCGACTCAGGTATATAAAGGCCTACATCTCAGTGATAAGGAAACCCCGGCCCCCCCCCCCCCCCACTCCGGGGTCGGAATGACCGCATGCGTGTTACCAAAATGTCTGGTAAAGGGGTACTTTTCGTGCGACAAAGTCCGGCCCGAGAATTGTAAAAACAGGGGTGTATTTGACCTGTTACCCAGAGATTTCTTTAAAAAGGGTGTGATTTTTTGTTCTTCACTCATCTCTTTGGACTCCTGAGAAATTATTCCGAATTTAAGGGGGTACATTGAGCATTTTTCCTGATTTAGGGGGTCTCCAAGGCAGGAAAAGCCAGCAAAACCCCCGCGAAAGGGGGTTTCAGAAATGTTGGCAGTCCTCAGATAGGGGGTGCTTTCAAAACGAGGGAACAAGCATATGCGTACCCTAAATAACACTGAGTGGGGGGGGGGGGGCCGGGAAGGAAACATAGCGGTGCTTATTGATGAAGAAATTTGATGAATAATGTACCTAGAAATTTGTAATACCCTTTGGCTAGTCAAGGCAACACAAAAATTATATAATTGCAAAGGGCATGGCTAAAGTGGATGATGTAAGCTCTGTCCATTTTTGAATATGTTGTATGAAATATAAAATATATCTTATCTTTTAAACAATTAGAGGCCCTAACAAAAAATTGTTACTTTTTGTTTTACAGTTGTAAAGAGCTTTAATACAGTGTATATACCGGTAATGAAATTAATTCTTTTCACCCAAATGTCCAGTTCTACATGTAGATTCAGTTCACTTCCTTGAATTCATTCCATTCCATTAATTATCTTCCACCGTCAGGTCGGCCCCATCTCCTAATTGAATGTGACGTGTGTTCCCGTTACCCAGTACGGTACAGATGGTTATGTGCAGTATGTAAGAGCTTTGACCTGTGTGATGCATGCTATAATAAGAATGAACATCATCTGGACCACCAGTTTGTAAGGTTCTCATCTCCCATCGGATCCTGGTAAGCTATCATCGTCATCATTTCGTATTAGTGTCATTTGTTATCATCCGTTTCGACCCCTCACTGTTGGCCAGGATGTTGAAATTTCTCTTTGTCCCTATTCCATGTGGTCTGCTTCTTCAGCATTCATATTTTTTATACAAGGTTTGAAAGTCTGTAAATTGAACATATTCCTGTTCATTGTAAGTTAGATTCAATTCAATTCAATTCAAATGAACATTTATTTTCTGTCATTCAATTTGACAACATATTCGACATCTGTTCAAACAATACAATTTATACTTAGGAACATGAATGTAATTTAAGAACAAAGCAGTCAATATCTCTATAATAAGTTATACACATACTCCTCACCCTAATCGGGTATAGGGCTAATACTTATGCACTGAATTCAAAATCAGCTTCCAAGAGAAGTGTAACAGAGATACAGATTTCCTCATAGGTTCAGGTAAATCAAAGCTTAGGACCGGTAAATCAGATAATATTTTGAAAAATATGTTTGCTTATTTTTATTTCTTGTCTGATATACCGTAGTAATTAACTTATCACATTCTTCTATGTTAATTATTGAATCAATAAGCATCAGAGTGAGATTTGTGGTTACACCACGTACGTATTCTTTTGAGAGTGCATATGTGGCCCTCAATGTTTCGGTAGGTCATCCCTATCATCTTCAGGATAAGCATCATGTACAAGCTTATATTGAAGTGAAAATACCAAATTAAAAAAATGTTTCAGGATTTTTTTTCTTCTATTCTACCACGTGATACTAATCCTTTCTCTCTACTTTCTGTGGTCTTCCATACAGTGTGCGTGCTCCAACAAGAGAGAGCAGTCTCAACAACCGTGTAGAAGCTAGAGGATTGTTTGTGGGAGCTGAAGTTTCAAAAGGTCAGTGTGGAATAAAGATATGGAACCTTAAAAGGGGTACCTTGTCTTGAAGCTGAAACCGGCTTTGAAAGTGTGTTGCCCCTTGATGGGCTTATGGTATACATGTATGTATCGGTTGCCCGTAAGGTAATTTGATATATATTTCTTGCCTGCCTAACCATCAACATGTAGGTATAGAACCTAAACTTGTTTTCCGCCATTGATCATGTAATCCTGGATTGCAACATTGCCATGTACACGGTATGTGCCCCAAAAGTCAACTGTGGCATCCCCCTTCATGATCCATGGTGGATCAAAGCTAGTGAAGGGTTAATTGAGAAAGTGGAAGTTATGTTTTCAATTTTAGGTCAGTTCTTTATGTTTGTGGTCAATGAAATTGTGAAATAACATCAGGGAATATTCCCATTGCTAGTGCTTTTGATTCACTAGTAGGCCAAGGTTCATGCTGTATGGAGTTGGTAGCAGTGCATATGTAAAGCAAACAATGCAAAGGGGTTTTGGTTCCTTTGTTTGCTCTCAGTCACTATTGTCACCCCATACTACATTCAAGGCTAGATTTATTTTTCTCTACAAATCAATTCATATTTCTCTTCCTTCTTCCTCTTTTTTAATGGAATAAATATCGCCCATACCATTTACAAATATGTTTCTTATTCAAAAGTATAAAAAGCAGTCTAAAATAGATAAACATGTATATTAACTCTTATCATGCCACTGGGCTAATCCCCCGTGCCAGTTTTGGAGATAATCTGATTAACGCAATGGTTCTACGAATAGCGAGTGCAAAACACACAGCACAGTCCAATGAGCATAAACAATAACTACTATTACAAATGCGCCCTTGCACGCACATGGCACTCAAGCGATGGCTCTCTAGCATGTACAAAGCACTATAACGATAGCGTGCATGCAGCCTTATGGCAGGCTATGAGTTAAGACTTCTCTGTAGAGACAGAAAAATTGTCATTTTAGGCAGTTGGTCTTTTTAGTATATGTTTCAATGAGAAACACCACGACAAGGAAACAGAAAATGTACAAAGCACTATAACGATAGCGTGCATGCAGCCTTATGGCAGGCTATGAGTTAAGACTTCTCTGTGGAGACAGAAAAATTGTCATTTTAGGCAGTTGGTCTTTTTAGTATATGTTTCAATGAGAAACACCACGACAAGGAAACAGAAAATGTGGCCTTTTACAAACAGAAAGTCTGTCTATACTAATGGACACCGAAGCAGGTTTTACTGTATATTCAATTATATATATCCCAAGACTTAGGTGGAATGTAGAATATATTCTTAAACATTAGAGTGAAATCTAAAAGAATATATTTGATGAAAGTTACCATGATAACTTCATGAAACATTATTTTCCTTCTGTTTCATGTTTTATAGGGAGAATGTTGTATAGAGATATTGACTGCTACGAGAGGACTGGCTGTTTTTATACACTCAAGGGGATGCAACTTTCCCGCAAGCCAGTATAGAAACGGCCATTCCTTGATTATTATCAAAGCAGTCGATATCTCTTTTATATACCGAATTGACCCCAAAATCTACCAAGAATTCTTACCTTATCCTTTTATTGAGTAAAGATTGGTTAAAACATCACAGACAATCTGAGACACCGTCTGTTAATCTTCGCTGGAAAAATTACTGAAAGTTTCAATCATTTGGGAATCGCACAAAGACAATTTTAATATGTAAACCAATGGGTATCGCAGCAAAATGTTACTATATTTCAAATTGTTTGAGGGATCTACTGTAACTCTTATACTGTTGACCGTTATTGGCATTTTTCGTTGTTTTACGGGAATGGCTGAAATCACGACTCAAATTCTGACCAATCAGATGGCTGGATTTCTTAAGTGAGGTATATAAATAGTGATTATCATCCTTAAGTTGTAGTCTCAGTATATCCAGGTGATTCACATATTTCATGCGGTACATTTGTGAATAGGTGTGTTTGTTTACTGATTGGTGCAGACAATTGACTAAACTTATAAGGTTGGTAGAAGTCTAAACTACATGTTAATTGACAAACCTGTGGCCTTGAATCTTTACAGACGGCAAGCAAGGCATCGTGGTGGAGACCCTAAGATACGAGCTTCAATGGGGAGGAGTCAAGGTGTTGTGGCCATGGGAAGGGGGGGAAGTTACCAGGCACACTCTTGAAGATGGTGTGATCGACATCAAATGTGAAGAGGCGGCTAAATATGGGCTCTACTATAAGGACCATCTAGCAAATTTTGGTGAGGAGAAGACTTGATTTTCCCTTTATTTTGGGTGGGCTGATGGGGGGGGGGTATCTATTTAAGCCTAAGTCCACAATGATATAACATTTTTAGACCAAATTGTCCTGATAGATTTAGAAGTAATTATATAAATGGTAAAAAGTGGTTGTTAAATTTGAGCTTGTATAGTTTAGTCTAGAAACTGAAATTTTGTGAGTTTTCCTGATTTATTATTAGTTCCATGCTGCATGATTTGTATCACAAAGATAATCACCGCAAAATCTTAAGAATTCTCAACAGTTTTATAATTAATGTTGCTGGTTTCACTGCATGTCTTAATGGCATAGAGATAATGACTGCTATGAGGGGAATAGTTGTTTTATAGTCTCAAGGGGATGGTGCATCCTGATAATCACCTGAGGCGTACCGAATATTAAAGCAGTCATTATCTCTTTTATATACAGTAAAAAGGGTCATAGAATATGCATTCATGGTAATCAAGTTTGTTTACTCTATTGATGATTGTGTTGATAACTTGCAGGTCTCTAGGCGCATTCTATTTTTTGTTGCTAAAATCCTTCCCATTGAAACTGCAGGCATATATCCTGAGGCAGTTTACGTGCATTACGTAATCATGTAAAATTTGTTTGAAAAAATTGTTACAAATGGAGATTCAAACCTTTAGTGCTTGTGATCCTGAAGGTGATACTCGAAAAATGAGGTGTCATATGAAAGAGCAGATTTATCTTCATATTTCCCAAGGGGCGTCATCTCGTCATTACATGTAGATCTAGGCCTACAATGGAGATCGGCGGTCATCTGCACTGAGTGCAAATGCAGCAACTAAATTAATTGCACAAAAACTGTATGGTAGCCGCACTGCACATTCGACGAAAGAACATTTTAACACATAAACCAATGCTCATTCCATAAAGAACAATTTAACACGTAAACCAATGGGTATCCCAGCAACATTTACTATTTCCATGTTAACCAGAATTTTTTAGGGATCTCACTCTTGGACTATAAACCTGTTTTATTCGTTTCTTTACGGGAATGGCTAAAATCACGACTCCAATTTCGACCAATCAGACGGCTGGCTTTCTAAAGTGAGGTATATAAATAGATATATTTCCCTTTATTAGTGCATCTTTCTCTTTAGCTGTTCCCAATATTGATTTCAAATTATCAAGAACTATATCTGATTTGGTAGGCTCTAATGTGTTATGCTGCTCTTACTTTTTACATTTTGGGTAGATATTATAATGAATGCAAGAGATTCTTGTTCATTCTATTTCTACTTATTTCAGGTGAGAGAACTTTATGTTTAGGTGACATGGCTTCAGTCCTTGTTGATGTTGATGAAATCAAACAGCTGCAAGAAGAACATGGAGACTGGATGCCACAGATGACAGATGTAAGTTAATCCCTAGATGTGCCCTCCTGACCTTTTTTTTTGGGGGGGGGGGGGTGGGGGCAACCCTCCCTCATTCAATAAAGTTAATGATTTATGCTGAGTCGGTCATAGTAGTTCACAACTGTTTTGTTACAAGGTTTTCCATCTGTTTAAGATTATATTAGTTAAAGTTTTACGGCATTAAACTACATTTTCTGTGTCAGCTAGGCATCTGCACCTTAGAATATGACCCCTGTATACCTCCCCACCCCCTTTTCCCAACTACCCATGGACAGCTACTCTCCATAGGGTAACTACCCCTCATATGACAACTATCCCAATTAGACAATTACACCCTGGACAACTACATCCTGTAAAATAATCCCGAGAAAATAAGACAATGCCCCCCCCCCCCCGCCCTGAACAGTTAACCAATGTGGTACCCCTCACTCCATGACCTAATTCCCTTTTTATATACAGTGTAAATATGGTGTAAGATGTTTATACTCATCATGATGAAAATATCATGTTCACTCTTGTTTTGTTTCGTCTGTTTAGTCTCTACGGCAGGTTGCTACCATTATTGCAGTCACGTACAACGGTGATTGCAAACTCCATTTCCCAGTTCTAGATCTTGGGTGGGATTTCAACACAGAAGCTGTAACCAGGGTAGGCTATTAGTCATGACTAAATGATTGTTATTATCTTTATTTAGATGTACTTGTAATTGGCATCCCTTTTTCCTGAAAGGGGAAAAAAGGAAATTAAACTCTTGGACTTTTGCCCCCCCCCCCCTTGAGGCTCAAAAGATGCCAAATAACAATGGGCATATATATAGGACCTACATTTACCCTAGCTTGCATGTAAATGTATTTATTGAGAACAGAGGAGGGATCTAATAACAACTAAGGTTTCAGTTCTTATCTGTGGTTTGTATGTGAGCCCTCTATCTGGTTCATCTGGTAAATGCTTTTCTGACTGAGCCAACTGTGAACAACTTCAACATACTAGTACATGTGTACAATGTTATTGCAACACGCAGATCACACGCGGAAACTGGTAGAAAAGACTCATCACACTATTCTTTGTGTTGCGGTTCGTTTGATTTCAGGTGCAAAATAAACAAAATTAAGCAATTAAATAGAAATGAGGAAATGTTTGAAAACACACATAATAGCAATAAACATTTTATTCGTTTATGACTCCAAGATACGAATTCCAACAATATGACATCAAGCCAACTCATGATAATTAATGATAAACAGGTTGTTTATATTATATTCATTAAAACTTAATCAATATTGCATGAAAATAACCAGCATCTAATCACAAATAAAGTTCTTCCATCTTTATGGATAACTTTCCTAACAAATAAATGAATACAACCTTCAAGTGAACTTTGTCAAACAATCAAACTTAATTCCCAATTAAAACTACATTTAATTAGTGGTTTATACATTGAATATGATAACCCACTCACCCTGGCAATCTGGCCAAGAGGACCGTTTAATTCCTCCGATTGTTCCCGCTTCTTACATGTTGATTGTCATTTGTCAACACCTGAAGGAATAATAATAAATACAAATCATTGTGAATTTTACTCATAAAACACCAAACCGAAAACGATTCAATTACTATAATCGCAACCTATTAACTCTCAAAATATACTTTACTACTGTTTTGCAAAACATGATTATTCAGAGTTAACCTCAACACATTATATAACTAAAACTCCTAAAGATTTACAAGTAATATAACAGATAACATATAGTAACATTCAAATCATCTCAAATTACTATTACCAAATCTTAACCTATAGTGCTTAACTCACTAACGAAATCAACCTCAGATAATATGACACACCTAGCAGAATACATATTAATTTAGGACAACTTATCGTTCAGAACGATACTAAGGTTATAAACTAGACTTTAATTAGTCACTTAGACAAATTAGGTGATACGTATGATGATGGTTTACATAACGAATAATGTATTACACGATATATAATTTCATAATGTGCTTCTCCCATTATGATCTATCTATGTGTCAAGTTTAAATTGTGTCCCCTTGATCATCATGGATCTCGGGAAGATAGATTGAAACAATATATGACCGTTGACTCTGTACAGTAACCAGTTACACCTTTGACTCTAATTTACATCATGATAAAACATTTTTACAATTTTATCTTATTCAAAGAAATGAAAATGTAATTGATAAATGATTATCATCATTATGATAATGATCATGATCATGAGCGTGATCCTGATACCTAATTGAAAAAATGAGGAATGATTTAGATAGCATATAGTCTTAGCTACAACATACTCAAAAATCAACTAAATCCAAGCAGAAATAATGGCGATATTGCTCGCAAAATACAGGAATGTAGAATCCAGATTTGAAAAAAGGTCATCTCCCATAGGGATTACACGCAAAAAGTAATGGATTATGTGAAAAAAGGGGTAATAATAAGGTAAATACGGTTGTTCATTACATTATTTGCGAATCTACATGTTTCAATAATCAAAGGAGATGGTACAGTGAAAGGTCAAAAAGAAAACGAAAATGAAGAAACAAAGTGTTGGAGACACCCGGACTCGAACCAGGGATCTCGAGCTTGGAAGTCAAGTGCATTATATCAAAACATTTCCCATGGCGATTACACGTAAACGGGAAATGGAATTCTCAAATCCTACTTTGCAAGTGAAATATGAGCATGATCCCGGCATCTGATTGAAAAATAAAAGACACATTAGTGATAACTGATTGTCTCAGCTACAACATGCCCGTTAAACAACGGAGATATTACTCACGAAAGACAGGAATGTAGAATCCAGTTTTGAGAAAAAGTCATGTCCCATAGAGAATACACGCAAAATGTGAGAAATTTACATGCCTCCTTTAATCGAAAAAATACGCCATGATGCCTTTGTCTAAATGAACAATTGTGACAACTGCGTTTGTAGAAAATTGTCTCAGCTAGAACATATTAAAATGTGGAAGAAAAACAATTAATATCTACAGAGATACAATCAATTTTCCAAAAATGTGCTGACGTCATAATATGCAAATTAAAATTTTGAGTTTGGAGGCCATAATGATGACGTCATGAGTTAATTAAGGGTCAAATGAGACATGAAATCATATCTCCAACTCATAATCGATCGAAATATGAAAGAATATAGGGAGTTTCTATCTATTCTGAAGAGTTACAATGAATTTTGTATAGGCATGTTTTTGCCCATGTATTGTGGGTAAAGATAACGCAGGCCCGCGCGCGCTGTCAACTTTATCGGACGCTCATTGCGTTATTAAAAGGTGAACAAGTTATCAAAATGCTTTGAAAAATGTGCCAAATATGAAAACAGAAAATTTGGCGATTCTACGTTGCAAAATGCTAGTACGCGCGTATGCATGATTTTTTATCAAATGCTCCAAATGGCCTGAAAAGTATGCAAAAAATATTTGGGATAATTTGGAGCATTTTTAATTTTTGCGCGCTCGTAAACGCGCGGACGAACGCGCACGCGCGCATTTGCGCGCTTTTATTGACCTCAACTTGACCGGACGGATATTTATCTTAATCGTGATAATTATGAATGAGAAATTCTTTTCCGTTATGAAGATATGATCATTAGTTGATTTTCACAAAATGGCGCCTGGATGACGTCACGATGACTTTGAGTTTTTGAAAAGTCACGCAGTTCTAAGTTAGGCTAAGATCTATCATCATGGCAAGTTTCATGATAATAGCTTAAGCCATTCTTGAGATATCCTGCGAACAAAATTGAGGAAGAATAATAATAATTTCTTCTATACAGACACAAAATAAATACTAGACTTTAATTCGTCACTTAGACGAATTAGGTGATACGTATGATATTGGTTTACCTAACAAAGAATGCATTACACGATATCATATTATTTTATAAAATGCTCTTCCCATAATGATCTATCCATATGTCAAGTTTAAATTGTGTCAATCCCTTGATCATTATGGATATAGGGAAGATAGATTGAGACAATATATGACCATTGACTCTGTGCAGTAACCAGTTACACCCTTTGACTCTAATTTACATCATGAAGAACGCATTTTGACGATTTTTATCTGATTCAAAGAAATGAAAATATAATTGATAAATAAGAGCTTATGCCTGAATAATTAAAAATGTACAGTGTATGACGTCACGATGTCCCGGCGTAAATGAAAAGTGTGAGAATACATTAGCGATCATTTTGAGTTGTCGACGTGAGATTCACTAGTTGCTTGAAAATAAAATCTTTAAATATCAGATGGATATATACTGTCACTGTATAAGGAATGTGGATTAGAGGGATATTGATCCGTCAGTCTTTCTTGAAGGCTTGTCAATTAAAGGAATACAAATATTTGAATGTATTTCGCTCAAGAAATTACATACAGCATTGCCAGTAAATTTCACGGGATCAATGTTAAAATCTCCCATTATATAAACCTGTTTATGTTCAGTATGTGTTTTTTGTAAAACATTTTCAAAGACAGGGATGAAATCATTGATATTTGATTGGGGTTTCCTATATATGACACCTACAATAATATTCTTATGTCTCGGCAAATTGCTTTCAATAAACAGTGATTCATAATTGTATGATGGGTATAATATAAATATATCATTGCGTATTTCATATTCAAAATTGTCAGCGACCAATAGACCAACACCTCTACCCTTTTCTACTTGGCGATTAAAATGTATTAATGAATGACCAGACACATTGAATAATAGTGGCGTACTATCATTAACCCAAGTTTCTATACATAAGTACAGATGAAATTGGATAAAGCATTACAATTTTTTTTTAAACTACGCGAATTAAAATGTAAAATACTAAAATGATAGTTAATGTTACTGAATTCAGTCGTAAAATCCTCATCAATATAATATTTACAGTTCGAGAAACCTACTGAAATGAAACTCATATTCTTTTTCGGATAAATAGTTTAAATCATTGATATCAGTATAAGTATCTGTAGTATTACTACCAAATATTGAATGAAGTTCGTCATTATTCAAGTCTTGAATAGGAAATGAACAATGAGAACAGAGTGGGTTATTAATGTAGCCGAATGCTCATGTTCTCTATAACGCTCATTTTATGTATTTTATTACCAGAGAAAAAAAGATGTCAGTCAGTCACTCAATAGTGTCTGAGAGTAAAGTCTAGAAAGTAAAAGGGTTTCCTTACATAATTTCAATACGAGGACACTGCTAACGTTTAAGTTTCACAAATAGGACATACGTGACATATTCATCATTTAAGCATTCAACTGAAAATTGTGATATGATCTCATCATCTGATCAAAAAAATAAAAGCACCGTTTTTATAGCCCATGGTCTCAGCTATAACATACCCCAATTTGGGAGAAAACAGAGCACAAATAAGAAAGATAGTGCTCATAGATGAATGCCATGTAGATTCATGATGTGAACGAAATTCACCTTCCATAGACATAACATGCAAATGACGAAAATTCTGACATGTGGCCTTTAATCGAAGTTTGTACTATGATGACGTCATTAAAATGAAAATTAATGTGTATTGTTCTTGTGGACAATTGCCTCGACTACAACATATTAAAATCTAGAAGAGAATCGATGAATATTGAGAGAAATACACTACATTTTCCATAAATACAATGACGTCATAATATGCCATTTTGTATTTTTGACTTCCAAGGCCATTATGATGACGTCAAGATGTACTTAATGGCCAAATGAGATTTGAAATCATACCTTCGACTCATACTCTATCTAAATATGAAAACAAAATTGGCAATCCTTATTCATCCCAATGGACTTTTTATAGGCATGTTTTTGCCCGTATATGCTATGTATTACAAAAATCGCGCGTGCGGACGGTTATCTTGAACGGACGCTCATTCCGTTATTAATAGTGATAAAGAGATAAACTTGGTATCAAATTGTTCGGAAAATTATGAGGAATATCCTGTCAAAAGTTTTTGCAGAGGAATTGTTTTTCGTTCGGCCGTGACGAACGAAGACGCGCAAAAATGCGTGTTTTGCGCGATTTTTTATGAATGCTTATAATGGCCTGAAACGTATGCAAAAAAAATTTAAGACGATTTTGAGCAATATAAAATTTTACGCGCGCATTAACGCGCGCACGTA